GGGTGAGCCGTTCCACATCTCCAGCCGCGCACCCAACAGGCTCTTTCTATGCATTTTTGCCGCGTCGGCGTTCAAAAAAAGGCTCAGTCACGCCTCCAGAAGCCCGTTTTTCGCCGGCTCGGGCCGAAACTAGTGCCGGCGGACCCAGACCAAACCTGGCGCCCTGCTGGGCGCCTGGGGCGCCGGCACAAGCGAAAGGGCGCGTGGGTCCGCCCTGTCAGCGAGTCGAGCGCCTCTTTCCCGCCGTTTCATCCCGCGTTTCCCCCACTTCCCTCCCATTCTCTCCATTCCCCCCGCCAATCTCCCGCCCGCCTCCGCCGCCATGCCACCGAAGAAGTACGTCGCTCCCCGCGCTGCGGCAACCGCGACCGCCCCCGTCGCCCAGCCGAAGCAGAGGAAGCCGAGGGCGCCGCCGTCCAAGCCACCAAGCATGACAAACGCCGAGTGAAGGGTGGAAGTTCAGCGACGAGAGGCGGTCACCGCCGACCGACGGAACCGAGTGATCGCCTAGAAGGCCCGTGACAACGCGGCGCGTGCGGTGGCGGCGGACCAAGCCGAGGCCGACGCGACTGGCGCGGGGATGATGAACCCACCCGACAACCACGCCCAGTACGCGCTCTGGGGCCAGCAAGGCGTTGGTTCTCCGTCGCCGCAACCATGGGGATGCACGCCCTCACCGGGCTACGCCGACGGGAACGCACACGGTGGTTTCAACCCCAACGTCACCTTCCCTCATGGACACCCGGCCCAGCGGACGCCCTCGCCCGCCTTCACCGGCGTGCAGTACCCTCCATACAACTACTCGCCGCCCGCCTACACATCCTCCCCGACGCCCCCTCTCCGTCGTGGCGCGCTGCCCTTCTCGCACCTTGGCGACACCGACGAGACCGAGGCCGACATGGATGACATCATCGCGACAGGCTCAGCCGCGGCCGCCGCGTCTCCCGGGTTCGCCACCCCGGACGACACCGTGGATCTGAGCGGCGGCATGGAAGGCGAGCTCGGCTACGTCTACGGCGAGGAGGAGCAGCAGGAGCAGGAGGAGGAGGGCGAAGAGGAGGAGGAGGAGGAGGAGCCGGCGACTGTTCCGGCGAGGAGGAGCAAGAAGAAGAAGCGGGCGGCCAGGTCCGACGAGCCGCGCATCAAGTGGGCGTCCAAGAAGGAGGAATGCCTCGCTGAAGCATGGAAAGTCGTCTGCCTCGACCCGACCACCGGCACGAACCAGAGCATCGAGATGTACTGGGAGCGCATCGAGGCCGAGTCCGACGAGCGCAAGCCCACGCTGCCGCCAACCAGGCTGATGAGGCCGCCGAGAACACCCGCAGCACAGAAGCCACGCCGACGCCGTCCAGCGCAGAGACCCCGCCAAGCCCGCGCACGCCGACTCCGCCGACGCCGGAGGCCGACCTCGCCGTCTGATGCGCACGCGCCTCCTTTCTGTTTTTCGTACGCCGAACCTGTGGCCGCGTGATCGCCAAATTTGTGGCGTCTATTTTATGAGCGGGAAACACTATGTTTGAATTTGCCGTGGCTGGGGGCGGCGTCTGGAGGCGTGGCTGGGAGTTAGGTCGCCCTTAGGGCCAACCTAGCGCCAGTTCGCCCCCAAGCTGTTTTTTTTCGGCGCCCTGGAAGGCTGAACGGCTGGAGATGCTCTCATGCCCATGAATCCTTGTGATGGCTGCTCGTGTGCGGCACATGTGAGGCGCCTCGTCATCAGGTTTGCCACATGAACGAAGGTACCTGTTTTGCCTTCATTGAGCCGTGAAATACCATGAAATGTGAAAAGATGGTTGTCAAGTTTACCATGAAATGTGAAAGGATGGTTGTCAAATATTTTTGCTCCAGTAGAGTACCGACATAATTAACGAGATTGTGGTGCACCACCTCGCAATGGCGGCGCAGAAATTTTTTGTAGTGGGGGCAAATTAGTGGAGTGGGGCACTTCTACAAAAATATGAAATTCTGAAGTAACTTTTTGTGAAATATAAGCAAACATTACTGAAGTTAACGTTTGAATATTTGAGTAGGGGTGCCCCTACTGGCCTCGATGTAGGCCCCCCTGCCAGCTAGTGTTCCTTTAAGCAGTGTATGACATGTTTGGTTGCCCGCAAGACATCCATGCAGGCTGGGGAAGGGGGGGGGGCAAATCTAAGTTGTTTGTTACTTGTGATGCATGGAGAAATTGGCCCGCACGGTTCTCAAAGAACCCCACAGTTTGTCCCTTGGGGCGAGGGAGGGGGGCGAGGGGAGGTGGAGGAGGAGGCTCGAATTGGCAGTTTTCAAGGAGCTAGGCTCGTTCCGACCCAAAAGGGATGTAAGCTCCCATTGGTGGACGGTGCGGGGTGGTATGTAGCTATTGAGAGAATTCCTTATTTGACACTACTTCAAAATGTGATTCCCTATTTGACCCTGAAAACTTTTTTCTCCCTTATTTATCACTTGTTTTAAATTTTGTTCCTTATTTGACATTGATGTCCATCCCATTACACTTTGCCGTCAGATTGTTTTTCAGTGGACCATAATACCCCTCCGTTAGTCTGTATGCAACACTGGAAAAAACCTAACCCAATAATCTCATCAAGTCCAGAGATCACCAGCCTCGGCGTCAAGACCGGCTCCGAGGGCGAGGTCTGACAACTCTGCTCCAGAGTCAACGACTTGTCATGGCCGAGCTGTACATGATCAGCAATATGCCAAGACAGGCATGTGTTACACAGAGAGAGGGATCTTGAACATGTTAGCGAGTTGATGTTTTGGTTACGCAGGGCCGGCATGCAGTTTATGTGCGGCCGAAATACCAAATCATGCACCTTGAAAAGATACTCCATTCAACATCTAAAATCTGCACGACTGTCGTGTCAGTCAACAATTTCGCAGTAGCAGTACTATCGAACTTACCTTCCCAATTCACTTGGCAGTGCAATACAAAGAACATGTTTGAGGTTTTGCTCATATTTTATTTATTTTTAATTAAATTCTGAGGACTTTGTTCATAAATTAAATTCGTTCTGTGACCAAATGCATGGGGTCTCATTTGGCCATTTAACTTTGAACAAATATGTCACAGTACTATTGATTTAGTCTTGTACATAATTTTAGTCACATAATGCATTAGGGGCATTTGCGTCTTTCCATATCCCTATTTAACACTGCTAGTGTACAAAATGAACTAGAGTGTCAAAGAAGTAAACAAATTTAACCCGAGTGTCAAAGAGGGAAGAAAAACTTTCTCAGAGCCAAATAGGGAATCACATTTTGAAGCAGTGTCAAATAAGGAATTCTCTCGTAGCTATTTGCACGTGGTGTGTTCTCCTCACCTTCCTCAATCTCCTTCGCCTAATCCCTTCTAATCTATACAATGGTGCTTCGATTTGAGATAAGCTCCACGCGAAAAAGATGCACATTGACATTGGGATCCCGTTCTCATGATCGCTTCCTAATTTTGTTTACTGTTAATCCTCAAATTAGTGTTTATATTTTGCTTTTTAGATGATTTTTTTTTCAAATTAGTCACACCCGATCGACCGTCATAGATGAATATATCTTTATCTCCTTACTATACTTTGTGTGTGTACGTGAAGGTGTTTTGTTCATCCCCTCTCTCTCTCCCTCTCTGTCACCTATCCTCTTTATCATCTACTTTGTCGGTCCACCATTTCACGACGATGTCTACATGAAGAAGATGTGGATCAACAAAGTGATTCCATTCTGGCAATCGATTTCGAGTTTCCTTAGTGGTAACTCCTCGATTTCATGTTCAAGTTTGAACTTATTTTAGACAAATTTCATCAAATTCACCAGTCAGTCTAAGTGATCTCCTTTGATCACTTAGTTTCATCTCGTTGTTCCACATGATTCTCATGTTGTGAGTTTTTATTTGAATGCTCATAAATGAAATTGTTCAAGTGTGATGGTGCGAGTTAAGTTCACCGTGTAGGTGAGAGTAATTATCAGTGCAAGTAACCATCAGTGCGACGTAAAACAGACAACCGAACGTTGCATCTTGGAAGCACAGAAATACAACCAAATGCCGTGCTTGCGTTTCTGCATCTTGAGGAAGAGGCAATGCAATCAATCAAACAACTGCAAAACATGGCCCAGAACTCCTATCACCTAGAACAGGCTCACCTCCACGAAACCGAAAAATGATGCAAGCATCCAAACAGGCCCATAGTGCCAACGTGCAGATTTCTCTGCAGGAACAACGTGCCTGTTTAAACTTTTATCTGCTGGCGTTTTGCCGGTGCTTCAGAAAGAGCAGAGGCCGCATGCTCATCAGCTCATGTTAGTTTTGGAGATTCAATACATATCGTTTTATTCTACATAAAATCAGAACGTTGAAATAAATGAAACCGCAGTTACTGTACGTAGTTCTCTGGCTAATACTAGCCCAGCACACTTGTAACACCAATTCAGTTCATGTTCCATAGTTCCAATATAGAACCGCCGATCATATTGTACAACGAGCAAATGGCAGGAAGAGTTTTATAGACAAAAAGCTTTACACTTGCAGGCCTGCGAGCTGCATGTCAACTATTGGAACCTATGTACCTTTGATTTGGCATCAGTGTTACAAAAGTGGAATATCTGTGCCAACGGAACCACCAAAATTTCCTTGAGTAAAAATGTACAACAACATGAACTAAATTAACAATGCAGGCACAAAGCTTACTACAAACACCAGAAACAAATTCTTCTAGTTCTCGACCCATTCCTATCTTTTTGACCCTTGTGGAAGGCTGAGATAGCAAGATGCACCGAAGCATACGTCATAAAAGATGCCAGCAGAACACCACCGGCAACCATCAACCCTAGCCTGACAAAGAAAAGAACATGCACAGGGGCTGATCAGTTACTGGCAAGAGAAACATACACACAAGATGCCTTTCAGACAGTTTGTGAAATATACAAATCTACATTTCTACAGGAGTAAGTCAGAATCCTTAAATCACCACCACTACCCTTTACGAACAAAATAGAAAAGGTCCGTGCTACCCCAAGATAATTATGTGGTCTAGGAAGTCCACACACACCCACAAGTCATAGCTCCCACCAGCAACCCCTCCTATCCCCTCTCGGTGTAGTCCTCAATTCCAAGTTTTCAACAGTCCCTGTTCCTGTAGTCCTATGGAAATGCCGGGCATTGCCCCATTTTTACGTATTCAAGATTGGTGGGGTGTACTACCAGAGTTTCTCCCCCTTCTTTCTTCATATTAATAGGAAAGAAAAGAGAAGGGCCAGTAAGTGTCTTACTTTGTAAATAATGCAGTTATACCCAAGATAGTTGGTGAAAATACAGTAATGATAGCTATGACAGCCATCCCTGTCCAGTAAAATGTCGCCTCCATGTCGAAGTCAGATATATTGCGCTGATGATGGCCTGCAAAAGACCAAGCTGTTAGATACCTAACATTTTAGAGAAGAAAGATGAACCTTTGCAAGAAGTTAAATAGTATAACATGCCTGTAGCCATGTGATTCTCTGATGAATCAGAATTGCTATATCCCACATGAGTTGCACTGATACTTCCCCATCGATAGACAAAACGGAGATAGCTACCAAACAATAAGAAGAATGCCACGAAGGTCCACTCAAACATCAGTAGCAGACCTGTCCATGGCATAATTTGTCGTGGAATGATAGTGAAAGCAAAGGCAAGAGAGACACCAGCAGACATAAAACAGATTAGCACAGCAATCGCCCCGAAATAAGAAGGCAGCTTCAGATGTGGCCCGTTTGAGATCTGTGGCAGTGTTAAACACCCATTAGGCCAATATAACATGATCGTCAACACATTTCGGTAAGAACATTAAGCTAAGTAACAAAATATAACTAGGATAGTAAATTCATATAGAACAAGATACCATCTCCCCGGCCCAGTTTTGTGCAGGGTGAACGCTTTACCAATATTTTCCAATATAAACATTATTTTATATTCTGGGACAACTTTATTAAAAATCATCATGAAGGGTGGTCCCTTTAGGCTTCATATTCATTCTTAAAGCTGATACATACATGCCCAATAGTCAACGTTCAATAGAATGTATTACAAGTGCAAAATGCAGAAAGTACCTTGGTTCATGTTAGAATGAAAAAACCTACTTAACACATGCTACAAATTCAGTGTTTGTTTGCTGTTGAAGAGGAGTAACTAACTCTTTGATTTGAAGTAGAAAATGTAGATGATGAAACACCAACTGCTGAATAAGATGGAAGTGCCTCTTCAGACTTATACTTATGACGGCCTCTTCTTGCAAACGCACATAAAGACTGCACACTTGGAAAATCCTTATAGTTCTGTCAAAAACATCACACCCATGATCGATCAAAGGTCAATAAACTCCTATAAGAACATGTATTATATCTACAAAGTTGAAAAAACTAGCAACATGAACTGTGATTTAACCTGAAAGCATGATTGGTAATAACCAAATAACAGCAGGCAGAAGGGAAGAATGAATAAAAATTTGACCACCAGCTGATCATGAGGGTTCCTTCCCCCACCGGTTCCCGGAAGAGATTCTTCAAGTTTTTGCCTAACATCCTGGAATCATACAGAGCATAAACTTATCACCAACATGCTACTAATTCACTTTCACAAAATATTACATATATAAGTAAAAATAGATAAATGAGATGGAATTTTACCTGCCATATCTCCACAGGTTTTACAAGCCAAGCTGTCCACCAGTCCCAGGGTTTAAGGGGACCTAGTGTGTAGTGAATAACTCTAAGTTCCTTTTCATCAACCATCCACTACAACATAAATTAGACCATGAGTCCCAAACAAAGCATCATGCTCTATAAAACTCATGTAACTAACATCTAATGGGCACCCAAAAAAGGTTTGGTTTTGTACTTTTATGAGCACGAGACAACAAATAAGTAGTATAAAAATAAACACAGATATTGTCTTAGTTTGTGATATCAGTGACCTTCCATACATTCAAAAGACTAGAATAGTTGTGACTTGCATACCTTACTGGAATCTATTTCTTTGCAACGACAAGGTTTAAATAACATGGAATACAGTAATGGCTGGCATATATATTTTTTACAGAGAAACAAGATAAGGCGCATGCAGTATCAAGTTTGCAAAAAGGTCATAATTAGTCAGATAAATACTAATGTGTTAGGCATTATCAGTGCACATAAAGAATATTACCTTGTTGGCTAGCATGTAAAGACCAACATCAGCATTATACAAGGTAGAAAGGCGCTGTGTCTCCGGTTCAGGTGTTAAAGGTGAGTCTGGCTCATACACGCGGGAGTTAGCAAAATCAGCATAATATGAATTAAGAAAACCTTGATCCCCTGCATTGATTAATTCAGCATCCCGATTAAATACAGCACATAAAATCAACTACAATGCTAAATATAATCATCAAAGGCCCAAAATAACTTCCAACTGGGCATCACAAATCTTTCCAAAACCATGGGCTAAGTTTCCTTAGACTATTTCGCATGATGATCGTAATGCCCTCCTCTATCTTGAACATACCCAGCGAGGGAATAGGTTTTGATGTTGAGGGGGGTAGTAGTGTCCTCGACATTAAGCATGATGGGGAATCATAAGAAGATGTGACTACTCTACACACAGGTTCTGCAGCCACAAGCTGTTAACACCTGAGAGTATTGATGGTGTGTATGAACTGCAAGTGGAGAATTTCTGCAGAGGATGGGATAGCCTGAGAATTGCCCTGGTGTTGCCATTGTAAACTTAAAAGAGGACCTGACAGTGCATGAAGAAGACTAACAAATCATCATAAATGCTGGTCAAAACAGGCCAAAGAGAGCAGCAGGGGCTGAAAAATTCAGGTGTGATTGAAAGGTGGTGGATGTGCAACTGTCTATTATGTTTTTAAGGCGAC